TATCCTTGTTGGACTATTATTTAAGTGCTATTCTCTTTCAAGACATGTTTACCTAAAACTAGAATAAATGCAATGTACATTATGCAGTAAAGGAAATTAGAAGATCTGACATATGTCCATTATGGAGATGATCGGTTTTGGACGGGCGATGTGCCTCGTATTGCATAAGTGATACTGAAGAATGACTGATATCATTAACGATACAGGGAAGAAGCTTTCAGTTATCTAGCTTTGCTAGCGAAGTCGTTAGCTAGCAGCTAGCTAATAGCACAACAACAACAGCCTAATGTTTGTATGATAAAAATACTGAATCGATAGATAAGAACAGTTTTTCCTCACCTGGCTGTCTCCTCCCCTCAGTAGTTCTTCAGAGAAAGGCAGACAGAGGCCTGTCAGTGTCTGTTGTATTTCATTTCCTCTCTGCTTAAACCGCTGAAGCAGAAACGATACTTTCAACGTTTTCCGTCATCTGACAAGCAGCAAGTCTACTCCACTTTATTCACCAAAAACGTTTTTTTTAATTCACCAAAAACTGTTCTGTAATCTGGAACGTTCGCTACGCTGAGCTCCAGTTAGCCGCCTTATCTCACTGCGCAAGAGGCAACTGCGTCATGCGTCACGGGCAAAAGGACAAAGGTAACAAGGTGATCGGAGGGCTTATTATGTTGTACAAAAAAGAAACAAAAAAACTAATAATTTTAGTATATGTTTTTATGTGTCAGAAGAGGGCTTAGGAAATACCAACAAAAAAAAAAATTGACCAAAAGGGGACTTGGGGGCAAGGAGCAAAAAGGGTAGGTGCTCAAGCACCCCTACCCCCCACCCCCTGCACGTGCCTGGCCACAGTCCTTTACGTTTGCCTCAGTCCTTCTCACGCACAACGGTTAAAGTCAAATAATCTGATGCTGATGTTGTGTTTTAATGTACAACACTTTGTATCAGCTGTGGTTGTTCTAAAGTGCTTTATAAATAAAGTTGGTGTGGTACATGTTAAAAGATGGTGTATTTACTTATATGTAAACCAACTATAAGTCCACAAGATGCTAAGCATTTTAACACAGACTAATGGAAGAGTTGTCAAACAACAAACACACCTTCTAAAGACAAATCAAGAACTGCATTTTATTATTTCAACACATAAAAATTTTCAAACACACTTTGTAGTTCAGTTTCATCAGCACACAATAAAAAAACAGTTCAGCTTTGGTTTTGAACATCTCTGGACTGGTAAAAGTGCAAACAATTAAATTAGTAATGTTTGATTGTGAAAACTTCTTCAGTTTTACATGTTTACAAACAATTCTCCCAAAAAACTACTTCCATGTCTTCAGAAACGCCGTACAGCATGTGACATTTTATGTCACCATAACACAGCCAGTTATAATACAGGTACAGTAAATAAACAGTTTGTAGGATGACGGCATATATCTGTTTAGAATCACATTATTTAGAAGTCTTTGTTAAAATGAAAATCTTCCATTTTATCGAGTCTTTGTGGTCAACTGTGGTCACATCAACAAGCAGGATGTAGACAGTTATTCCCCACTGTGCCATTTAGTTGTTTGCAGTAGCAGCTCTCTTTTGTCCCTTCATGGCTGCTTTCCTCGACTGTAACGATGCTCACCGGGGCGATCTCCTCAGTGGGCTGCATGATTAAACAAACAGAGGACTCTGGTGTAGCCTGCAGAGACTGGGGAAGCAGAAAGAAGTGTGATGTTAGATTAAATCAATCTTAAATCCAAGGCAGAAATTCTGAAAGCAGAGGCACCTTTTCAAAATGCCGCGGAAGAGAAACTTTTGGCCATATGAAGTGGGAAATACTTTTCCACTTCACCATGGCCGGCACTGTCACAGCCACAGCCACTGCGATGACGGCACATGCGATCACAGCTGCAACCACTGGAGAGTTTTCTGAAACAGAGACTGTGATTGGTTTGGAGAACTTTTCCACCTCTGAACATGAAATTAGATTAAACTCCACTTTACTCAGGTTTAGGGGTAGGGATTCATCATATTGTTTATAATGCATTGTGATAAATTTCTTACGATAAAAGCTTAGATTTTTTTTGTCATTAGTAATTCTAATTAAGGAAGTTTAATAACCTCCCCCCCAATAAAGTCCTTACTGTCAGTGGAGCAAATGGTAAATGTATGAATCCTGTTTGTTCAGTGACAGCATCAATAAATGACAATCATTAAAAAAATAAAAAATTACACTGTGCAGTTTATCGATACAAGTTACACACAGTACCACCTGCTTGCCATCGAAGAGCTTAAATTGTAACCAACCCCAAGTCTTCCATTACTCTGGATTAAACAGCAAGCTGGTGCAACTAAATAAAAAATTATAATAAAAGGAAAGTACGATGACAAAGAAGTAAGCTAACAATATTTTTAAAAAGAAAACGTCGAATGACAAACGTTAGTTTCATCCAGTCAGGTGTAGTACTTGAGAAACGCCAAGCTGACTGCATATGTTCACCTGTTTTCTGCTTGTTGGGGTGATCAGACTAAATAACAATCTATCAATAATAAGGTCCACTTTGACCTTCTTTCAATGTTGTAGCTTGGCCACCACCCAGAAGAGGGCGCCACTTTGATATACAAGTATAGCAGTGACGGAACTGGAAAGAGAAATGCTGTGGTGTGGGATGCAAAATGTACTTTATGCAATTCTGTTTTGAAATATAAACACGCAAACAAATAAGCTTCTTAAGTTTCACCTTAATGCAACCGACTCAAGAAAATGTCAAAACATATCAATGTTCCTTGTTTTAAATGCAGCATATAATGCAGCCCTTATGGAAGGAGCGTTGAATACCTCCATACAAGAAAAAGCTCACGTTAAGAAAATAGCTGCTTATCAATTAGTCATTGGTCGATTGATAAGATCAATCTTCTGTAAATCAACTCATTGATTGATAACTTGCGTCCCTGTTCTGTGCTTATGAACTTCCTCACTAATTATAAACACAAAGAGCGTACCGGTGTCGCCGGTCCTCTCACACAGGACACCACTGGACTCGGTGGGGTTTGTGAGGGTGATGAGTTGGACCTGTACGCAGTACTTGGTCAAGGGATCCAGATCATCTAAAATGACCCGGTCCTGTTGGTAGTCATTGTGGATTCTCTCCTGTAGGGGGTGACAGAGAGGCAGTCAGTTCGAAGCAGCCACACAACATCAGGTCTCAGACTGGTAGAGGAGACCAGGTAATGAAAAATGAAATCAATCTTCCATTGATGGATGGATGGATAAAGAGATGGATGCATGAACAGACCAAATGATGGATGGATGGAGATATAATTGGATAGATGAATGAATGAATGGATGGATGAATGAATGAATGAATAGATGGATTGGTGGATGGATAGTTAGGCAAATCGATTGATCAATCAATGAAAGGACAAATGGATACAGATACAGTTGGATGATTAGATGGATGTTGGACACAGACAGGCAGATGAACTAATGGATCAATGAAGGGATGGATAGATGGATGAATGGAGATACAACTGGATGTATGTATGGATGGACAGACAGGCAGATTGACTGATCAATCAATGATGAGATGGATTGATGGATATGCTGTTGATCAGCTGCTGTTTCTCTAAAAATCCAGCAGGTGGCAGCAGAGGGCCATTTCTACAGAGTCTGATCAGCCAGACATACAGCTGTGCTACACCATCAGCCTGTTGGTGTTGAATTCACATGCACTCAGTAGCCTGATCAACATTCTGGTTTTCCATGAACCGATTAACCTGCATCCCACCTGTTCCTCCTGTCCTTCCTTCCAGTAGGTGATGTTGTAGCGGAGTCTGGTGTATACATTCCTCAGAGAGCAGATCTTAAACTCTGGATCCTTAATGCTGACCTCCAGAGTTTGGCCGATGGGTAAGAGCGACACGCTGGGAGGACTGATCAGGGCTGCAGAGAAAAAGTCAGAATTCATTTCTGGATTGCTTGGAAACATGCACCACTAATCGCTTTTGTTTCCAGATCTAAAACCGATGCTTAAGTGAACTTTTGGGGTGTGTGCGTTAAATACTTACTTTCTTTATCCAAAGTGATGTATTTACTCTCCACCCAGGCTGAGGCGTCTTCTCCCAGCAGAGCTCGGACTTTTGCTATGTATGTCCCATAGCAACTGATGTTAAAATTGCTGAGTTCACATTGAAAGGTTGTGATGTTCACACAGCCTGGACTGTAGTCTGTAACAAGACTCCTGAGACAAAACAAGCAATAAAAGGACACACAGTTTGATAATGACACAGGAAAAAAGCAAACAAACCATAAAACTAGCTTTCATAATGGACAACTAGTCAAAACTAAGGAGCCGGTTTTATAACCACTTTGACAACAGCGACTGTCAATACAGTCCTGGGAGAAGCTAAATCCGTCCTCACAGCTCTCAGTGGATTTAAGATTTGAGGTAGCAGCCATGTGTGGCCGATCAGATGATTAACTGATCTTCCGAGTGATCGCCTCTGCAGAAGGTAAAGTTTGCTGCTCTGCAACACAACGCCAATAAGAGAAGACATCAACAATGACTTCAGAGGAGCAACTGGGGCTGCATTTAACAAGCTAACTAAGACGAATATAGTCTGAGATCACGCTCTTGAAAAGTCTGTCTTTCTGTAGAATGATGAATCTTAAATAAGACAGTTTGTATGGAAGGTTTAGAGTCGTACGACTCTGTGCAAAGTTGCATCTGAATGAACCAAAGTAGATGTTGGCCACAATACACATCACCATTTTGAACAAGATTTGGATCTGTTTTACAACCAGGGCAGTCTGCATCCACTAAGTCGACTCTGATCTCCTTGGTAGTTCAGACAACAACAGATTTACAACAGAATGGCTGAACAAGAAACAAAGGTTCTGCAATGAACTAGTGAACATCAAGACCTCAGCCTGATTGAAATGCTGTGGTGGAACCACTAGACAGCTGCAAAAACTTCAAGGAGGTGAAGTGATACTGGAAATATGAGTGGGTCAAAATGTTTCCTCAATGATTAGAGAAATTGATAAAGTCAGAAAAGTACTACAGAGAGTCATCACTGGTGAAGGTGATCTAAAAGCTGCTCACTGGGGTGAACCGTCCCCAGTCAGTGGATTGTCCCCCATCTGCAGGGATCCAGATCCACCAAAACTGGTCCTAAGTAGGAAAACTGGAGAACAGAAGATCGTATTGTGGACAGAATGACCACAGACCAACCAACATGTCCTTTGGATGTGAGCTTTGGATTTGGACCATTCAGATGTTGCGTGGATTGGTCAGATCATTTAGATTCCTTACCTCAGGAACACATGAAATCAGGTGGGATCATGGCAAGAACTCAAGCTGGTATGGAAAGTGAGATGCATTCATGTTCTTCATGTTTTGGTTTGAGATGCTGCACCTCTTTGTTGAAGAGGTATTCCCTGGTGGCAGTGGAGGGACAAGGCTTCCTGGATGATCTGAAGAACACAACTAGTTTGAAGTATACTCTTGGCTTCCAAATTCTTCAGGTCTCAGTCAAATCAGCGTTCTAGAATTTGGATAGAAGTGTCAGATCCATGGAGACTCTGTCTCCCAAATTACAGGACTGGACAGGATCCACTCCTTATATCTCAGAGACACATCCCACAGCAAACTTTACAGATCCAGAGAAGATCATTAGGAGAAAAGTAAGGGGGATTGGTTGACATCATTTGGTCTTATGCCTCGTTCTCCACTGAGCAGTATGGCATTTTATGGTCCGGCGTATTCAGGAGAGCATTTTGACCATAGGTTGGACTGTCACTGGGCAGGCAAGGTTCAACCCAAACTATACCAATGTCCCATGGACCTACAACTGTTAATGGTGCGGAACATGTTGGTTGTACTTTACAATGCATGTGATCCACACTGACCTGTGCTGAACCACCAGCTGGAAACAAGGAAGTATTATTATGGCTGATTGTTGTAAATATGTTTGCTCATTAACATGAGTCAGCTGTTTTCCTTTCCAGAAGAAAATCCTGATTCATAACAAAAAAATTCTTCTCCAGTCGACTCCAACTTTCAGTTCACAGTTTTCTGTTTAAGGAAGATGCAGAGAAACACTCAGAAACTCTCCATAGGCAGTTTTCTGGAAACTGACACCAGCGTATCAGAAAGGAGGATGCAGCAGTGCAAATAAGCAGAACAACACAAACAGCTACATGCACAGAGGCTTTCTTTAGTTTCTTCCTGTTAGAGTACGACTGTAAATGTGATTTTTAAATCACATTCCAGCCACATAAGATCTCAGACAATCGATGACTATGTAGAAGTCAGTAGCTGCATTTTCATTGACCATATAATTGTGTAATTTGACATTTTGAAAATAAATTCACTGAATGGAACCATACCAATTTCGAAAAAAAAATGTTTTTGATAAAAAGCTTTATTGCCATCATGAAGTTGGAAACCTCATATTTGGAAACCTCATATTT